GGTTCCTGTATATTTTAACTACATTGCATTTGAGTATTGAGAAGCAACTATAGTGTTATCTGCCTGGAGTGAACACCCGATGCTACGAACACCTTGAAAGAGTCAACATGAAAATTTTAGCCGACAGTTCATACTGCATCCTCCGGCGGACAAAGCCAAACGTAGAGTGACCAGAAGGCTGCACAAACTGCCAACACCAAGTGCGCCTCATTTTTCACCAGCGACGAGGAAAGAATAGCCATCGGGAAGGCGAAAGTCCCCAAAGCCATTGTACCCGACGGAATTAGCACGCTGCTGCTCAAAAATTTGGGTCCTGCGTTAGTGGACTATCTAACCAACGTTCTCAGCTTGTCTATGCCCCCTCTAATAGTACCAGACATCTGGAAAACGGGGAGAGTGGTTCCACTGCTTAAACTGGGGAAACCGTCCAAGAAAGGAGAGTCTTCTCGCCCGATAGCTCTCCTTTCCCCGGTAGCGAAGACACTAGAGCCCCTTCTAGTCCCGCACTACACAAATCACTGGACTCTAGCGAAGCATCAGTATGGGTTCCGTAAAGTGCACAGTACAACAACAGCGCTTGATGCCATAAACACCCAGATAACTCGTGGCCTTAACCGAAACAAAAGACAAAGAAACGTTGTTGGCAACGTATAAGGCAATTGGCCGCCCGGTTCTGAACTATGCAGCGCCAGTGTCGTTACCGGGGACTAGTAGAACGCAGTGGATGAAGCTGCAGACCTGCCAAAACACGGCACTCAAACAGCGACAGGATGCCTTCTGATGTTGCCGCAACATCATCTGCGCGACGAGGCCCATATGCTCCCGATTAAGGAGCATAACACAATGCTCTGCAACGTGTGTCAAGTTAGCACTACACTTTTCGAAATTGGAAAAGTTAACTACGGCATTACTTGTAGTGTTTTTGTTGTAAATTTGTTGTGGAAAGAAAAAATTTGTAGCTCTCGTTTTTTAAGAAAAAATGGTATGTAGTGCTAACTTGACAACATACACCAAGTCGATAGAATTGAGATATTGAAAATGTTATAACGGCATTAATTGTAGCTTTTTTGTTGTAAATTTTTTGTGGAAAGAAAAACTTTGTAGCTCTCGTTTTTTAAGAAAAAAGGGTATGTAGTGTTAACTTGACACCATACACTTAGTCGATTGAATTGAGATATCCAAAAGAAAAAATTTTTAGCTTTCGTTTTTCTGGAAAATTTGCTTGCGGAGAACCCTCGCCACGGCACGCCAGAAGGCGTCTATATGAACTGACGGACGAAGCCCGGGGTTCATAAAACTACCTCTGGACCCAACAGCTTACCGACAGGTCTTGAACGACATTCACAGAGAGGCAGTCCCGAGTTATATATGCCGTTCTGGGCACGCAACTACCAGACGTGGACGAGACAGAGCTTCGTCTGCCTAGAGAGACTCGGACCACATAGCCCAACTTCGATCTGGCTACTGCAGCAGGTTGAACTCATACCTGAGCAGAATAAATGCAGATGTGCCAAATGAATTCCCGGCATTCGGAGAGACGCCCCAGCCTCTGGCCTTATGGACAGACCCCATCGAGGCTGCACGCTTCCTTTGTCTATCGCTAATAGAGCTTGACGACAACGATACAACAACAACAGGAAACATGTGTTGGCATTAGCTGTGGGAAAAGACGACATTTCAGAGTTCTTAAAAATTTAACTATAAAAGACGCACTGCGCAATAGAATTGATTTTAAAGAACAAAAAACTCAATCTGGATATAGTGAACAATCTGTTTTCTATGAACTGGTCTTGCATTAATTAGTTCACTCGACCCAGATAACAATGTATATGGAAGTATTTTACATAAAAAATTTACTAAGTATAGCCTTTTTGGAGATGGAGTTAAAAAAATACATGATGTTTTTTAATTCAAAAAAGTTTCAATAAGAAAGTGCTCGATCTGAAACTTTGCACAAACTTTTTCGATTTAGGATTCATTCAACCACTTTCGAAATATTTGCGTCGAAAGATTTTAAAATTTCTACATTGAGCAAAGCATTGCTACGTTCATTTCGATAGGCAGCGTCTCAGCGGGACATAGGAGAATGAAAAATTGTTCCATTTATTCGCTTTCGTCTCTGTTTTTGTTTCATATCGAGCAAAGCATTGCTCCGTTCGTGCGAATGTAGGCAGCGGTACAGCGGGAGATCTGCAAAACAAAAAAGTTTCTTTTGCTTCTGTACACACACCCATATATTAATCTTACATGGTTTATTTCGACGTTTTTTTTCTGAGACAAATATGGTTCTATATGTATTATAAATCTATATGTAATCGTACAGAGACCATTTATATATCAAATTAAAGTGATCGATCTGAAACTTTGCACAAATACTTCAGATTTAAAAATGATCTGATATACATACATATTTGACTATTTCAGTTTTCTCTTGGGGGTTAGAAAAGGGCCACAACTCTCGCCAGATTCAAAAATGAAGATAAGTGCCACAAGAGATTATTTTGCGAGATTTAGTCGATTGGGTATTTGAACCTCATCTTGATGTAATTAACCAAAACCACTTGAAGGATCGCGTTCCCACGACTGTCGGGTCTACGTAACCGGAACGATCCAGACTTATATCTGGCCAGGGACTGTCACTTCGGCAACACTCCCCAAAAACTCTTTGGGGAATTTGTATGCTGTTACAACAACAACTATAAGGATCGATCAATTTTGTGTCCAAAAAAATAAGCACTGTACGATAGCTAATAAAGAAATGGTTAATATGTTGCCCGGAGAAGAAAATGTTTACTATGGCGTCGATATATACTGTCGTTTCTGAATATCCACATGAGCAAATAGGAGTAGAGTTGCACCTCATGACTTGGTACTAAAAGTTGGAGCAGTTGTGATGTACATATGCAGGGTTAGTTAATGGGCTCGCCTAATAGTTAAAGATCTACAATATAATTATTTGGATGCCGCAATATAAATATTTATGTACATATAAAGGGTTAGTTAACGGACTTTAAGCAATGGATTCACAAGGGAAACGAATTTTACTAGTCATTTTATAAATCAACAGTCTAGCTCAACGCTTCATTTTGCATTTAAACGTCGCCAATGCAAAATTATTGTAGCGTTCGTAATAACAATAAATAAATATCACGTTCCGACCCTAACCAGAGGATTGCTTTACGCATGGCCAGCTATGTATACGTATTGAGTAGAGTATGATCTTGCCAAAATACCAAAGTTAAAGCTAACTACAAAAAGCAATGCATGTGGTTTTAAGAATAAATAAATATATAGATTTTTTACACCACGGAGCACCCCGATTTTTGGGGAGTTGCCAGTTGCCAATATTAATGTGGGTTAATTCTTCATCCGGAGACAACAGGATTGAGTTGTCCAGAGGTCAATCTCAAATTACCACCGTTAAATCAACCACCAGAACCATTGCGTTCCTTGATAAGACACTTAAGGTATTTCGTCTGAAATAAGTCTATGTATATTTACGGTGACCATCCGTTCTGTTTTTGCAGGACCGTACTGTTATTCAAAAGTCGGTCCTGCGGAGTTTTTCAAAACAGAAAAACCTGAAAATGTACTGATTTTTTCCAAGTGTCCTGCATTTGTCCCGCATTTTATTCGATACTTTAAAATTTACGGTAATGGATGATTTTTTTTTTAAGTATTTTTTGGTACTTTTCTCAATCTCCCAATCAACGTGAGCGTAAGGTATTGATATGCTTCTTACCAAAATATATAACTTGTGCCGATTTCAATGAAAATTATTAGTGCTACAATCGGCCATTTTGCATTTTGTTGTCAAAGTCGCAAACGTGGGATTTTCAATCAACTACACATTTTTATTTGTTTATTTTTGTTATTATTTTTAAAAATCCATAAAAAAGGTATATCATTACAGTAAATTTTGAGCCTAAGATATTTAAAATCGGACTAGAAATGTAGAAGTTATGGAGCGCAAATTATATATTATTGTAAAGGGCACATAAATACCTTTGTAACTGTATGTTCAATGTAGGTTATGTGAATTCATGACGTAAATTTTTGACAAATTACTGCGATAAGTACCAAAAAAAAATTTTTTCGAGAAAAATCTCGAAAACGCTTCTTTGAAAAAATGGGTATTGTTTTCGTGTTGAACGACTCAAAGTTTGCCTTTAAAATAATATTTTGAAGATGTTCAATTTTCGTGTAAGCCAGAGATGGGCAAAGTGGCTCCCAGGAGCCTTTTGCACTTAGGAGCCGGCTTGGCACATTTAGGTGGTAGATGAGGGGTAACACCATGAGCCAGTATGAAGGGAGAAGAAGAGCGTATTCAAATTTCTTGTACTCCGAATCTCATTACTAATATACATATATTATGCTTTTAATGTATTTTGTACACCCTTTTTACCCTGAGAACTGATTTAGCTCTTGCGTAGCACTTGCTGGCTCTTTGCCGGCTTTAAGAGCCAAAAATCTGCCCATCCCTGGTGTAAGCTATTGTAATTATATTATGTTTTACTATACTTATATAAATATTCATTTGAAAAAATATTAATACCGATAAAGAAAACGTGATTCATGTTTAAATTTTAAAATGAATTAAGAATTTAGAATTATATAGAGGTACTGTTTTGTTATTTTTATATTTTTGAAAAATTGTTCTGCATTTTCAATCCATATTTATGGTCACCGTATGTATATTGGATTTCTGTAGCACAACGATACTCACCCACTAACTATACTATACAGTTTCAAGGTCAGATTCACCATCGAACCAGACCATTGTTGCCGCCAGGGAGTGAAGAGGAAAAAGTTCTTCAAATTTATTTCGTGTAATGCAATTAACCGTGCTCTGAAACGTCAGATCATTGAAGAATTTCAAGAATTTCTTCACGAACATACACTTTTGCTCCGTTATTTAAGACGGCAATTGAAATATGCCTTCCCAAATCGTGAACGTGAATTGTTGACCAAAATGTTTCAATAAAAAATATTAATTTTGGGCGAGACGAAGATCGCCGGGTCTGCTAGTTATTATATACAATGATATATTATCGTCAATGTTTGTGAAATGAATTTTAAAATATGAATGAGCGCATGTTGAGATACAGGTGAACTAATTGCTGACCTTCCAACCATACCAAAAAGCTCTCTACTTTTCACTTTTTTACAAAATTTATATGTATGTAAATACATTTATAACATATTTTGGATTTTTGGAAATACTCATCCAAGAATAAATTTTATAATTAAAGTCTAAAATACACTGCTTGTTGAACGCGAGAAAACTTTCCAAAACAGACCTATATCCAATCCACGCTTACAAATCATGATTCGCTTTATCATATTTAACCGCCGGATTTGCTGCCAATTTTAATACGTGGTTTGCGAACGAGTCTACAGTAAGCATTTTGCAGGTCAATTCAATAACTTGGGATCTTCCTCGAGCGTAAAAACGTCTTGTATGTTGAGGGGGCACTCGTGTTATGGTAGTTACATCCGTACAATTTATCCAAATTTCTTCGTCATTTTTCGCAGTTATAATTATGTTATCACCTGTGTTTATGGCGTTTTGTATTGCACCAAAAGCTAGGCTAGGCATTTTAAGATGTTTCAAAATACGGTGTGATGGGGTGGTATGTGAAACACTACATGCGATTAACAATATTTGAGGTAATTTAGATTCTTCGAAGTTTTTTATGTATTGAAATAGCAGCAAGATACTATTTTGTCCGATATCCAAGCTTGGATAATAAATTGAACCTAAATTTTGACCGAGCTTCATATTTAATTCATAGTTCATCAACACATCGCCGCTACGATGGTCCCATATAGTTAACTGTGTGTCCCCAAAGCCAATAAGTTTGTCATCTGTATGAAGGCCGGAAAATATTTTAACAACAAGTAAGTATAAAATTGAAGTTAACAATATACCTGTGGTGCACTCTAAATATCGAATGCAATGTCGCATATGTTTGAAGTCACGTATGCTCGCCAAAGTATCTAAATTTGGCGTTAACGAATATTTGCAGAGGCCTGAACGCGGTTTGCCCAATATATTTTCTTGTGGCCAAGACATAACAAAGTATCGAGACTCTGTTATGGTAGTGTAGACGACATCAGACGGCAAGCTGTAATAAATATACATAAATAAATTAGAGCTGGGAGTTCTATCCTGATTTTTTGTCTATCCGGATAATCCGGATATTCGATTATTAGAATAAAAAATCCGAATATCCGGATAACCGAATAGTGTATACACTTGAAAACATTTGTACAAAATTATGATTGATGTCCAAAAATGGGTATTTTTACACCTATTTATGTGATATTCTTCTAAAAAAATGTGTAATATTTATGTTTCCAACTTAAGCAGACATGATGTTTAATTTTACACATTTTCACTCATTATATTAAACACAATGTTTCGAATAGAGAATTTTGTCTTGAAATATTAGTACGCGTTGATTTGTTGTGAAATCGTCACATTTAGCCAGGTAAATTAAGACTTTTCTGAAAAAAAAAATTTAGTAGGGAAGTTTTGATGCAGTTTACTTCTATTTGGCACGTAGATCATGGATCCAGAGCAGAGGTCGGCAATAGTAGGGACTGTGTTGGTGATTTGAAACAAAAATCTGTGAGTAGCGTTTGATTGTCAAAATTTTGTATTACGCTACTAGTGAGTGGGTGAAAACGTGACAGTGTTTGTATTTTGTGTCGCCCTTTTTCATTCGGGGATGAATAGCGGAAATTTGACAATGGCCCGCTAAAAGCAAAAACAAAATACAAGTAATTGTTGTATTTGTTGAATCGATACCATATTATATGTATTCGGCTTGGTAAAAGCATTAAAAACATTTAAGATACCCAGCAAACACAGTCTCTAAGGCCGGGGCCACTCAATGCGCGGCGCCGCCCAAATATTCAGAAATGTCACTCATTGTGTGGCCACTTTAATTGTATATCATATGTTTTAACTTTAAGCCGCTCGCTGCTTTGCCGCTAATTGCGTGGCCTCGGCCTAAGGTTAGAGAAATGTTTAGATTAGAATCTAATGTTGTTCTCGAATCGAAAATTAGGTTAGAGAACTATGTTAGAATTCCATTAGAGAATGATTAAAAGAACATTAGACGTTAGAAACCAATTCGAATTAAAAGTTAGAATAGATTAGTCCCCTTTTTGTAGAGAATACTATAGTTCTCGACAGTTTATCTAATCATCTCCTAACGTTCTACCTTAGAGAAACACATTAGTATTAGAATCGTTTTCTAATCGTTCTCTAGCCTAAATGTCTAATGACTACTTTTCCCACATAATGACACGATACTTTTTTAATGCCCAACTTTGTCATTTGTCATTTTGGCCATTTAATGCCTAGCGGAAATCCAGCATTAAACTTGGCCATATATTTTTTAAGTTCGAAATAGAAGTGTTTCCGGATAGTAAACAAACCGCTTATCCAAATTAACCAAATTTGGAACCAAATGAAAGACGAGTTAAATAGCTTTTACACAGAAATAACGATCAAAGGCTACCACTTCTATTTATATTTTTTTTTTTAATAACTTAATACAAAAGATATGCATATACCTGACCCAAGGTTTGTTCTATGGTAATTAAAAAACATTTTTTATTTAAATATTTTTCAATAGCTGGCTTTCTGCTGGATTTCCTCGTTTAAATATTTCAGTTTTAAAGCTATTTTAGTCATCTTTCAGTTGATACCAAACTTGTTTAATTTGGATAAGCGGTTTGTTTATTATTAGGAGAGGACTTTTATTTTCGACATAAAAATATCTAGCCAAGTTTAGCTGTTGAAAAAAAGTAACTGTTATTTACGGTCCTTGGAAAAAGCACTCTGCTTTCGCCATAAGTTTTCTTGAAGATATAAATATACAAGAATTTTTTTCTTAAGAGCTGCAAACTTATTCAAGGAAATTTTGATTACTTGTGGGTTATTTTAAATGAATTTTTCGTTTTTATTGAAACCAGGAAACAGCTCGTTGATATAGAAAAGCCCTATCTCACACCGTTTCTGTAATGCAAAAAAGCAACTAACTAAAATTTTGTATTGCATAAAACGATGAGGGGACTTATAATTCGATGAATTGCATCATCATAGTTACGCCTTTTTGTATCTCAGCGACGATGTGAGATAGGGTCTTTCTATATTAAGGTAAAGATATGTGTATCGCTGATTTGCTGGAATGGTGTCATAACACCAAAAAATAAAATAAAAAATCGGGTTAAGTATGCGAGAATGAACGTTAACTCTTCTATTCTGTGTAAAGATTTCATAGCTGTACCATTTACCAGTATCTCACTAGCATGATTCAATAATAAAAGCTTTGCTCAGAAAACAGTTTTCTCGTTCCCTCTTGACAAAATCGGCTCCCTTACAGGGTTGCCTTTTTGGGCTTTTCCTACCAAAATTGGTAGGTGTTTTTCTCGTTGGTAGGATGGTCGTAGGTGGATACTTAAAATTTTGGTAGGTTTCTTTGTTCAAAAAACAGAAAACATCTCTTATTTGCTGTAGTGTGTAACTTTTTCAGCACTGTGAGTAGGCTTGCCAAATTGGGACAATATCAGTTTTACCCTCATTCTGTTTCTTGGATGGGTCCAACTGTTTGCCATTATATCAAATACCTTTAAAAAAATCGTTTATATTATTACCTTCGGCATTTCTCTGAACTCCGTATAAGCTATAACAAGTTTAACCACTGCGTATCTAAAGGAATATCAAGTGATTGAATTGATGGATGTAAAGGCAGGTTGATAAATGAGATTTTTTTCTTTGAAATGCAGCTGTGAATCGATAATAGTTTCAACAATGACAAGGTTGTTAGAATCTTTTTAGTGACAAGCGGACCTCAGATTCGGATTCAGCAGGTCGAAATACATGTCGTTTTATATAATAGCTATTTTGTGATCTTTTCTTTACCTGGAAATCTTATTTGAAGTGTAAACACCAACAAAAATAAATGTATTTAATGCTGTCAAACGCCGTTTTCTTGATTAAAAGAAATGGTAGGAATGAAGCCATTTTGGTAAGTTTTTAAACCAGCTCTTGGTGGGAAAGAAAGTTTTTCAGTGGTAACCCTGCTTCCTTAGCAACCCTGCAGTACGGGGGAGTGACTACAGGACTGCTGAATCGGTAGCTACCTGATAAACACCGTCAATTACCGACCGACTACTTGCAGTATATTTCATCGATTACTTTTACAAGGCAATGTGCCCTCTGGGCGTTCTCTGTCGTAGTTTTTCGCTATTCTGCTTACGACTGGTTCGACTCTGCATTACCATGAGCACTACCACGGGCTAATAGAGTAGCTACTTACCTAGGAGTCGGTGCAGTAGCGTTTCAAAAGTAGCGATTGACTCCAGCAGTACTGGAGGGAAGGCACTGTGTATAAGCTTGTGTGTGTGTGCAACCTTCTGTAAGGGAGTGTCAAAACTCGAATGTCACTAGTGAACAAACCTTTATTATTGAATCGTGGCTCACTAGAGCAAAATATGTATTCAATTATTACTATGGGAGTATGTATATGTAAATTCACAATTTTTCTCGAGCTTTTGGTTGTTTGAGTTAAGACAGTAATGATGCACATAAATGAGCGATAGATAGTACATATCTGTGTTCATATGGAAAAGTAGTTTATGTCGAATATCACAGTGTGTATATATTCGTAATTTTATTTAATTTTTATGCTAGCTTGTTCCAGTAAAAAAATTTAGGTGAAAGCATTTCAAATTCAATCTTTTATCGCCATTTCAGTCTGGATTTAGAAGTAAGCACAGCTGCTCCACAGCAATGATAAAAATCATTTATGATATTCGTATAAGCTTTGACAAAAACCACCTGACATTACTTTGATTGCTAGATTTTTCCAAAGCCTTTGATTCAGTGAACCACGAGCTGCTTTGCTTAAAATTAAAGAACTATTTTGGCTTTGGACAATCTGCAGTGCGACTAAGAGAGCTACTTGGTAGGCAGGTCTCAGTATGTAAAACTTAACTCGAAACTATCTAAGCTACGACCGCTGTCGTCTGAACCTCATAGATATTCCATCACTATACATTGGGGATGAGTCTATTAAATTTGTATCCAAAGTTCCTAGTATGGTTATGTTATTAATACTAATCTTTCGTGTGTTGATCATATAAACTCCATTGTTGGAAAGGTGTATTATTTTTGAGAAACTTAAGAATGTCTGCCTCTTTTACACCAATTGATATCAGGCGGAAACTTGCAATACAGCTTATACTACCGATGATATGCTATCCTGAACTAGTTTATAGCAAGCCAGACTCTCAATCAGCGCATAAAATTGAGGTAGCTTTCAACCATATTACGCGCTATGTATTTGGGATAGCAAAATTTGAGCACATCTCTGCCTGGAGGGCAAGCCTGCTGGGTTGTGAAATCTCTGGCTACTTGAAAGCTAGAAATTGTATATTCCTATTTCGTCTTATGATGGATAAGACTCCCGGCTACCTATATGAAAAATTAATATTTCCAAAATCAACACGTGTAAATGACCTAATTGTCCCTAGCTATAACTATCTCAGCTCTACAAGGCTATTTTTTGTCAACGCTATTCGTATATGGAACGCTATTCCAGCTTCTATCCGTAGTACTTTGAGTAAAAGCAACTTTAAGAGTCTCTTGTATTCGTATTTTCGCTAGTTTGTCTTAAATTAAATACCTGTTACACTGAGATGTGCTCTATCCGTACGTTTATATGCACTCTAAAAAAATTTTTGTTTAAATTTGCGCATATTAAGATAGGTAACCAGGTTCCTCTCTTAATGAATGCAAATTTACTCACCATGTTAATTAAATTAAACACTGGTTGCTTACTTTTAGTTATCATATGTGTGGCGTAGAACAAATTTCAAATTTGTTTTTTGAGTTCTACACATCTATTGTTCACAATTTCACAGTTTACACATAAAATGTTTAAAATTTCCTCAAACAAATTTTTGTTTAAATTTACGCATATAAAGAGGTAACCAGTTTCCTCTCCTAGTGTGTGCAAAATTAAACACTGTCTGTTTACTTTTACATACCAACTTTGTCACGCTGAGAAAAACTACACACAAAGTGTTTAAAATTGAGTAAATATGAGCA